GCCAGGCTGGATGGGGGTTGGAGCAACCTGGGGTGGTGGGAGGTGTCCCTGCCCAGGGCAGGGGGTTGGAACTTGATCATCTTTGAGGTCCCTTCCCACCCAAACCATTCCATGATTCCATGATTCAGGTTGTGGGTGGAAGGGCCCACAGCGGTTGGAGGTAAGTGACCTTCTGGGCCTGGTGTCCTCATGGAAACGCTGTTTTCCTGGCGGGGTGGGTCCTTGTCCCGGTCCTTCTTCTGAGAGCCTGGCCCAGGTTGGCCAGAGAAGCTGTGGCTGCCCCATCCCTGGAGGGGTTCAAGGCCAGGCTGGATGGGGCCTTGAGCAACGTGGTCTGGTGGGAGGTGTCCCTGCCCAGGGCAGGGGGTTGGAACTCGATGGTCTTTGAGGTCCCTTCCAACCCAAACCATTCTATGATTCTATGATTCAGGCTCTGGGTGGAAGGGCCCGCAGCGGTGGGTGGGCAGGGGAGGGAGCTTCTGGGCCTGGTTCCTCCAGGCAAATGGTGTTTTCTGGGCAGGGGCCGAAGCTGGGGCTGGGGGAGCCGCCGGTGGTGCCGGTGTCAGGCTTTGGTGGCCGGTGCTGAGCCAAGGTGCTTCTTGCTGCAGATGGCGGTGACGTTCGAGGAGGTGGCCATCTACTTCTCCCCCGAGGAGTGGGCCGAGCTGGGGGGCTGGCAGCGGCGGCTCTACCGGGAGGTGATGCTGGAGAACTACCAGGCGGTGGCCGAGCTGGGTGAGGACTCTCTGCGGTGCCGCCGGGGCCGGGCTCCAGCTGGAAGTCCCCTCTGGGACTGAGGGTCTCTCTCTGCCCCGCACAGGCTGGTGCCCCGTCAAGCCGGAGATCATCTGCCAGATGGAGCGAGAAGAGACGCCGTGTGTGCCAGACCCCCCTGGGGCACGGCGCAGCCGCGGGACCCCTGAGCCAGGTGGGTCTGGGGGGGCTGCAGAGCTCATGGGAGGGTCCCACAGGTGCTCCGTGCCCAGGGAGGGGGGGGGCTGGCGGGGTCCCTGTGCTGCTCCCCGTGGGGAAGGGTCCCGTGTGCCCATCCCATCCCCGGCAGTGACCATGACCTCTCCTCCCCAGCAGACGGTGATGTCCAGACGCAGAGGGAGGATGGGGGGCTCCTCCAAGGGCTGTCAGACCCCACCAGCCGGCTCCCAGGGCGGCCCGAGCAGGACGGGAGGTGGTCGGGGGGCCTCCAGGCCAAGCTGCTGCCACCCCAGCTCCCCCACGGCCCCTCAGACCCCAAGAGACCCCATGTGTGTGTCAAGTGTGAGAAGAGCTTCGGCAAGATCCAGGACCTGAGGAGGCACCAGCAGACGCACACGGCGGCGCGGCCCTTCTCCTGCCGGCAGTGCAGCCGCCGCTTCCGGCTGAAGCAGGTCCTGGTGTCTCACCAGAAGGTCCACAGTGGGGAGAAGCCCTTCGGCTGCGCCGACTGCGGGAAGCGCTTCACCCAGAAGCACCACGTGTTGATCCACTGGCGCATGCACAGCGGCGAGAAGCCCTTTGCCTGTGGCCACTGCGACCGCCGCTTCAGGCAGAAGTACCACCTGGTCAGCCACGAACGGGTACACACCGGGGAACGTCCCTTCGCCTGCCCCCACTGCCCCATGGCCTTCAGGGACAAACAGATCCTCACCATCCACCAGCGGGTCCACACTGGGGAACGTCCCTTCGCCTGCCCCCGCTGCCCCAAGGCCTTCAGGCGCAAGCAGACCCTCACCAACCACCAGCGGGTCCACACTGAGGAGCGCCCCTTCGCCTGCGACCGCTGCCCCAAGACCTTCAAGGACAAGACGGCCCTCAGCGCCCACCAGCGGGTCCACACCGGGGAGCGTCCCTTCGCCTGCACTCTCTGCCCCAAGCTCTTCAGGAAACGGGGGGCTCTCACTGACCACCAGCGGGTCCACTCCGCAGAGCGCCCCTTCTCCTGTTCCATTTGCCCCAAGACCTTCAAGGCCAAGAAGGCCCTCATCGTCCACCAACGGGTTCACACCATAGAGTGCCCCTTCGCCTGTGCCCACTGCCCCAAAGCCTTCAGGGACAAGAAGTCCCTCACCATCCACCAGTGGGTCCACACCGGGGAGCGTCTCTTTGCCTGCGCCCACTGTCCCAAGGCCTTCAAACACAAGAAGACCCTCACCGTCCACCAGCGGGTCCATACCGGGGAGCGCCCCTTCACCTGTGCCCACTGCCCCCAGACCTTCAAGAAGAAGAAGACCCTCACCGTCCACCAGCTGGTCCACACGGAGGAGCGCCCCTTTGTCTGCACCCACTGCCCCAAGGCCTTCAAGCAGAAGCAAGCCCTCACCGTCCACCTGCGGGTCCACACCGGGGAGCGCCCCTTTGCCTGCAGCCACTGTTCCAAAGCCTTCAAGCAGAAGCAAGCCCTCACCGTCCACCTGAGGGTCCACAACGGGGAGCGCCCCTTTGCCTGCCCCCGCTGCCCCAAGGCCTTCAAGCAGAAGCAAGCCCTCACCAACCACCAGCGCATCCACAACGGGGAGCGCCCCTTCGCCTGCCCCTGCTGCCACAAGGCCTTCAGGGACAAGCAAGCCCTCGCCGTCCACCAAGGAGTCCACACTGAGGAGCGCCCCTTCGCCTGCGGCCGCTGCGGCAAGGCCTTCAAGTACAGGAACACCCTCACCACCCACCAGCGGGTCCACAACGGCGAGAAGCCCTACAAGTGCGGCCAGTGCAGCAAGACCTACAGCTGGAAGAACGGCCTGAGTCGCCACCAGCAGGTGCACCAGGGACCACTGGCCATGCCCGAGGGTGGCCCGCAGGAGGAGGGGGTCCACTCCCAGCTTGGGGGGCAGGCGAAGGCCAAGCCCTTCCAGTTGAGCAGCTGTGAGGAGCAGTTTCAGGGTGACGGGGTCCTGGTAGACCACCAGTGCAACCACGGCCCCCCCAGCCTGTTGCCACCCCCACAGTCTGGGACCCCTGAAACTGCCACTCTGGGGTTCACAGCTCGTCCTGGTTCGCCATCCCTCGCCGTAGAAGCTGTGAGTCTGTGGTGGGAGCAGCAAGACCCCTCATCCCTCCTTGATGGGGGGTTTCTACCTCCTCCGCCTCGCCCTGGAACCCAACCGGCTGTTGACCAAGCTGCCCATGGCCATGGGCCTTCTCGGGGGTCGGTGAGGACGGAGGGTGAGCGCAAGGTGGCTGAAAGGCATCGCCCCCACCCCGGGTCGGGCGGGAGCCCTTTGCAGGAGGGTGAGGAGGAAGGAAGGGCTTCGGGCTGCGTTGGTCCCGAGGAGGAGGAAGGTGCTGCCCGGGAGCAGGGAGTGGGGCCGAGCATCACACGTGGTTGAGGACACGTGCGGCCACGGCTGGGACCCACCTCCATCCCACACCTCCAGTGGCCTCCATGAAGTAATAAACATCGTGTCCTACACTTTTTGAAGCGGCGTCCCCACCTTCACGAAAGCTTTTGGGAAGGACCACGCGAGCGGCGGGGGCTGGTGTGTCCCTGCAGGGAGCAAAGGTGCCCTTCCATCACCTGATGGATCCTGGGTGACACAGACACCCATGAGGTGGTGTCTGCAGGGGGGTGTGTGGTGTGCCACCACTGTGGACCTGTCACACCATTCAGTTGCCCTCTCCTGGGTGTTGAATGCCACTCGGGGTGCCAGAGCTGCCCAGGAATGGCAGGGGGACACAGGGAGGCGTCTGCATCCTCCTGGAGAGGAACCCAAGGCCAGGCTGGTCCTGGACATGGCCATCCTCTCCCCAGTAGCAGGGACTCCCATCCAGCCGGGACACAGGGCCAGCTCCTGGCCCAGGAGATAAGCCTGGCCCCAAAACTGACCCCGGCACTTGAGGTGGGGACTCACCAGTGCCGAGTACAGGGGGACGATGGACTTCCCTAGTCCTGCTGGCCAAAATACTGCTGATACAAGCCAGGATGCTGTTTGCCTCCTTGGCCACGCTGTTGGTCTTGTGTGCAATCAGCGCATCGGTCCAGCCTGTCCAGATCTCTCTGTAGAGCCTTCCTACTCTCCAGCAAATCCAACACTCCCACCCAATCTGGTGTCTTCTACAAACCGACTGAGGGTGTGCTCCATCCCCTCGTCAGGACCATAGATAAGGGTGTTAAGGAGAACCAGCCCCAGTGCTGAGACCTGAGGAACATCACTCGTGTTGAGATCGTCCCCTCTCAGCCTCCACCCTCCGCCAGGCTTTCCCACTGGCCATATGTCATTGTCCTGCCGATCGCTCCTTGGCTCCCCAGTTGATGAATCAGCTGATGGATGGGAATCAGGGACTCTCAGGTGATGCAATATGGACCCCGATGCACCCTTGGGGTAGCGATGGGCACCTGTGGTTCTCCAGCCCTCAGCAACCCCACAAGAGAAGGGTCCTCCAAGAGACCAGGCAAGGTAGGGTGCTGGGATGGGGTGGAGCAGAGCCAACTTTCTGTTCAGAGAGAAAGCTCTTGCTCTTACTAATTGCTATGGTAACCTGGGTCAGTGTTTGCTCCAAAGAGGGGTCACACCTGTGGGGAGGGGTGGACAGGAGAGGTGACCCAAACTGACCAACAGGGTGTTCTACCCCATCTGCCCCATGCTCGGTATAAAAGCTGAGGGATCAAAGGGCCTGGGTTTCTTCTTCCTTGGCTTTTCTATTGGCTCTTTCTTTGATGACTAACACCTGAGGAGGACCCTGTCTGTTTGTCTGCCTTTGACCCTGCTCCATGAGCTCCTGAAGCAACATCCGGAGCCCAGTTCCCATCTGTCACTGAGCCCAGTCTGGACCTTCCCCAGTGCCTGCTGGTGACATCTCCCTGGGAGCTCCATACAGCCTGGTATGTATTGTATTTACTTAATTATTTCCTTTTTATTTTATTGGTAGTATTTCGTTAAAGTTGCTTGGTTTTCCCCTAAACCCCTTTCTCTCTCTTCTTCCTCTCCTTGGAGTGAGGTGGGGGAGAGCATCTGTCGTCGTGTCACTGGCCAACCCAGCCCAAAGCACAACAGATTCAGTGGGGCTGCGTGTGGGGCTGGAGGTGATGGACTCTTTTACTAATTACTCTTTTGGTTTCACCTGGGAAAGGTTTATCTCACCCTTTAATGGTTGTGCCGAAGAGCGAGGGGATGGAGACCCTTTTGGGCTGCTCAGAAAATGAATGTTATGGGGATTTTGTTGCCGGCACAGGCACAAACTGCTCCCCAAGCTACACACAAACACACACACAACCTGCTGCTCAACTCCAGCAGAACCGGTACAAGTTGCCCCAGTGACCAGGAAGCAGGAAAGGAAACCGGCTCATCCCCCTGCCCCTTCGGAAGCAGATCCAGGAGAGGGACCTTCTTGGGCAGCATCAACACAGGGGGAGGAGGACTCAAATGCAGGGATAATCATTAAATCCTTCTCTGTGAAGGATTTGGTGGGAGGTGTCCCTGCCCAGGGCAGGGGGTTGGAACTCGATGGTCTTTGAGGTCCCTTCCCACCCAAACCATTCCATGATTCCATGATTCAGGTTGTGGGTGGAAGGGCCCGCAGCGGTTGGAGGTAAGTGACCTTCTGGGCCTGGTGTCCTCATGGAAATGCTGTTTTCCTGGCGGGGAGCGAAGCTGGGGCTGGGGGAGCCGCCGGTGGTGCCGGTGTCAGGCTTTGGTGGCCGGTGCTGAGCCAAGGTGCTTCTTGCTGCAGATGGCGGTGACGTTCGAGGAGGTGGCCATCTACTTCTCCCCCGAGGAGTGGGCCGAGCTGGGGGGCTGGCAGCGGCGGCTCTACCGGGAGGTGATGCTGGAGAACTACCAGGCGGTGGCCGAGCTGGGTGAGGACTCTCTGCGGTGCCGCCGGGGCCGGGCTCCAGCTGGAAGTCCCCTCTGGGACTGAGGGTCTCTCTCTGCCCCGCACAGGCTGGTGCCCCGTCAAGCCGGAGATCATCTGCCAGATGGAGCGAGAAGAGACGCCGTGTGTGCCAGACCCCCCTGGGGCACGGCGCAGCCGCGGGACCCCTGAGCCAGGTGGGTCTGGGGGGGCTGCAGAGCTCATGGGAGGGTCCCACAGGTGCTCTGTGCCCCAGGGAGGGGGGGGCTGGCGGGGTCCCCGTGAGGAAGGGTCCCGTGTGCCCATCCCATCCCCGGCAGTGACCATGACCTCTCCCCCCAGCAGACGGTGATGTCCAGACGCAGAGGGAGGATGGGGGGCTCCTCCAAGGGCTGTCAGACCCCACCAGCCGGCTCCCAGGGCGGCCCGAGCAGGACGGGAGGTGGTCGGGGGGCCTCCAGGCCAACCTGCTGCCACCCCAGCTCCCCCACGGCCCCTCAGACCCCAAGAGACCCCATGTGTGTGTCAAGTGTGAGAAGAGCTTCGGCAAGATCCAGGACCTGAGGAGGCACCAGCAGACGCACACGGCGGCGCGGCCCTTCTCCTGCCGGCAGTGCAGCCGCCGCTTCCGGCTGAAGCAGGTCCTGGTGTCCCACCAGAAGGTCCACAGTGGGGAGAAGCCCTTCGGCTGCGCCGACTGCGGGAAGCGCTTCACCCAGAAGCACCACGTGTTGATCCACTGGCGCATGCACAGCGGCGAGAAGCCCTTTGCCTGTGGCCACTGCGACCGCCGCTTCAGGCAGAAGTACCACCTGGTCAGCCACGAACGGGTACACACCGGGGAACGTCCCTTCGCCTGCCCCCACTGCCCCATGGCCTTCAGGGACAAACAGATCCTCACCATCCACCAGCGGGTCCACACCGGGGAACGTCCCTTCGCCTGCCCCCGCTGCCCCAAGGCCTTCAGGCGCAAGCAGACCCTCACCAACCACCAGCGGGTCCACACTGAGGAGCGCCCCTTCGCCTGCGACCGCTGCCCCAAGACCTTCAAGGACAAGACGGCCCTCAGCGCCCACCAGCGGGTCCACACCGGGGAGCGTCCCTTCGCCTGCACTCTCTGCCCCAAGCTCTTCAGGAAACGGGGGGCTCTCACTGACCACCAGCGGGTCCACTCCGCAGAGCGCCCCTTCTCCTGTTCCATTTGCCCCAAGACCTTCAAGGCCAAGAAGGCCCTCATCGTCCACCAACGGGTTCACACCATAGAGTGCCCCTTCGCCTGTGCCCACTGCCCCAAAGCCTTCAGGGACAAGAAGTCCCTCACCATCCACCAGTGGGTCCACACCGGGGAGCGTCTCTTTGCCTGCGCCCACTGTCCCAAGGCCTTCAAACACAAGAAGACCCTCACCGTCCACCAGCGGGTCCATACCGGGGAGCGCCCCTTCACCTGTGCCCACTGCCCCCAGACCTTCAAGAAGAAGAAGACCCTCACCGTCCACCAGCTGGTCCACACGGAGGAGCGCCCCTTTGTCTGCACCCACTGCCCCAAGGCCTTCAAGCAGAAGCAAGCCCTCACCGTCCACCTGCGGGTCCACACCGGGGAGCGCCCCTTTGCCTGCAGCCACTGTTCCAAAGCCTTCAAGCAGAAGCAAGCCCTCACCGTCCACCTGAGGGTCCACAACGGGGAGCGCCCCTTTGCCTGCCCCCGCTGCCCCAAGGCCTTCAAGCAGAAGCAAGCCCTCACCAACCACCAGCGCATCCACAACGGGGAGCGCCCCTTCGCCTGCCCCTGCTGCCACAAGGCCTTCAGGGACAAGCAAGCCCTCGCCGTCCACCAAGGAGTCCACACTGAGGAGCGCCCCTTCGCCTGCGGCCGCTGCGGCAAGGCCTTCAAGTACAGGAACACCCTCACCACCCACCAGCGGGTCCACAACGGCGAGAAGCCCTACAAGTGCGGCCAGTGCAGCAAGACCTACAGCTGGAAGAACGGCCTGAGTCGCCACCAGCAGGTGCACCAGGGACCACTGGCCATGCCCGAGGGTGGCCCGCAGGAGGAGGGGGTCCACTCCCAGCTTGGGGGGCAGGCGAAGGCCAAGCCCTTCCAGTTGAGCAGCTGTGAGGAGCAGTTTCAGGGTGACGGGGTCCTGGTAGACCACCAGTGCAACCACGGCACCCCCAGCCTGTTGCCACCCCCACAGTCTGGGACCCCTGAAACTGCCACTCTGGGGTTCACAGCTCGTCCTGGTTCGCCATCCCTCGCCGTAGAAGCTGTGAGTCTGTGGTGGGAGCAGCAAGACCCCTCATCCCTCCTTGATGGGGGGTTTCTACCTCCTCCGCCTCGCCCTGGAACCCAACCGGCTGTTGACCAAGCTGCCCATGGCCATGGGCCTTCTCGGGGGTCGGTGAGGACGGAGGGTGAGCGCAAGGTGGCTGAAAGGCATCGCCCCCACCCCGGGTCGGGCGGGAGCCCTTTGCAGGAGGGTGAGGAGGAAGGAAGGGCTTCGGGCTGCGTTGGTCCCGAGGAGGAGGAAGGTGCTGCCCGGGAGCAGGGAGTGGGGCCGAGCATCACACGTGGTTGAGGACACGTGCGGCCACGGCTGGGACCCACCTCCATCCCACACCTCCAGTGGCCTCCATGAAGTAATAAACATCGTGTCCTACACTTTTTGAAGCGGCGTCCCCACCTTCACGAAAGCTTTTGGGAAGGACCACGCGAGCGGCGGGGGCTGGTGTGTCCCTGCAGGGAGCAAAGGTGCCCTTCCATCACCTGATGGATCCTGGGTGACACAGACACCCATGAGGTGGTGTCTGCAGGGGGGTGTGTGGTGTGCCACCACTGTGGACCTGTCACACCATTCAGTTGCCCTCTCCTGGGTGTTGAATGCCACTCGGGGTGCCAGAGCTGCCCAGGAATGGCAGGGGGACACAGGGAGGCGTCTGCATCCTCCTGGAGAGGAACCCAAGGCCAGGCTGGTCCTGGACATGGCCATCCTCTCCCCAGTAGCAGGGACTCCCATCCAGCCGGGACACAGGGCCAGCTCCTGGCCCAGGAGATAAGCCTGGCCCCAAAACTGACCCCGGCACTTGAGGTGGGGACTCACCAGTGCCGAGTACAGGGGGACGATGGACTTCCCTAGTCCTGCTGGCCAAAATACTGCTGATACAAGCCAGGATGCTGTTTGCCTCCTTGGCCACGCTGTTGGTCTTGTTGGCCATCAGCGCATCGGTCCAGCCTGTCCAGATCTCTCTGTAGAGCCTTCCTACTCTCCAGCAAATCCAACACTCCCACCCAATCTGGTGTCTTCTACAAACCGACTGAGGGTGTGCTCCATCCCCTCGTCAGGACCATAGATAAGGGTGTTAAGGAGAACCAGCCCCAGTGCTGAGACCTGAGGAACATCACTCGTGTTGAGATCGTCCCCTCTCAGCCTCCACCCTCCGCCAGGCTTTCCCACTGGCCATATGTCATTGTCCTGCCGATCGCTCCTTGGCTCCCCAGTTGATGAATCAGCTGATGGATGGGAATCAGGGACTCTCAGGTGATGCAATATGGACCCCGATGCACCCTTGGGGTAGCGATGGGCACCTGTGGTTCTCCAGCCCTCAGCAACCCCACAAGAGAAGGGTCCTCCAAGAGACCAGGCAAGGTAGGGTGCTGGGATGGGGTGGAGCAGAGCCAACTTTCTGTTCAGAGAGAAAGCTCTTGCTCTTACTAATTGCTATGGTAACCTGGGTCAGTGTTTGCCCCACAGAGGGGTCACACCTGTGGGGAGGGGTGGACAGGAGAGGTGACCCAAACTGACCAACAGGGTGTTCTACCCCATCTGCCCCATGCTCGGTATAAAAGCTGAGGGATCAAAGGGCCTGGGTTTCTTCTTCCTTGGCTTTTCTATTGGCTCTTTCTTTGATGACTAACACCTGAGGAGGACCCTGTCTGTTTGTCTGCCTTTGACCCTGCTCCATGAGCTCCTGAAGCAACATCCGGAGCCCAGTTCCCATCTGTCACTGAGCCCAGTCTGGACCTTCCCCAGTGCCTGCTGGTGACATCTCCCTGGGAGCTCCATACAGCCTGGTATGTATTGTATTTACTTAATTATTTCCTTTTTATTTTATTGGTAGTATTTCGTTAAAGTTGCTTGGTTTTCCCCTAAACCCCTTTCTCTCTCTTCTTCCTCTCCTTGGAGTGAGGTGGGGGAGAGCATCTGTCGTCGTGTCACTGGCCAACCCAGCCCAAAGCACAACAGATTCAGTGGGGCTGCGTGTGGGGCTGGAGGTGATGGACTCTTTTACTAATTACTCTTTTGGTTTCACCTGGGAAAGGTTTATCTCACCCTTTAATGGTTGTGCCGAAGAGCGAGGGGATGGAGACCCTTTTGGGCTGCTCAGAAAATGAATGTTATGGGGATTTTGTTGCCGGCACAGGCACAAACTGCTCCCCAAGCTACACACAAACACACACACAACCTGCTGCTCAACTCCAGCAGAACCGGTACAAGTTGCCCCAGTGACCAGGAAGCAGGAAAGGAAACCGGCTCATCCCCCTGCCCCTTCGGAAGCAGATCCAGGAGAGGGACCTTCTTGGGCAGCATCAACACAGGGGGAGGAGGACTCAAATGCAGGGATAATCATTAAATCCTTCTCTGTGAAGGATTTCTGAAATATGAGGAAGGACTTAAGCATCTCCCCTTCTTGAGGACTAATCTTCTGGTTGCCCCAATGCTGGGGCAACGACTTAGATGGTAGAGAAGCCAAGCAGTTGGGAAACCTAGCCAAAGATGGAGCTATTGATAAAGGGACTGGGAGAGAGAGAAACATTGAATGTTATGGGGATTTTGTTGCCGGCACAGGCACAAACTGCTCCCCAAGCTACACACAAACACACACACAACCTGCTGCTCAACTCCAGCAGAACCGGTACAAGTTGCCCCAGTGACCAGGAAGCAGGAAAGGAAACCGGCTCATCCCCCTGCCCCTTCGGAAGCAGATCCAGGAGAGGGACCTTCTTGGGCAGCATCAACACAGGGGGAGGAGGACTCAAATGCAGGGATAATCATTAAATCCTTCTCTGTGAAGGATTTCTGAAATATGAGGAAGGACTTAAGCATCTCCCCTTCTTGAGGAATAATCTTCTGGTTGCCCCAATGCTGGGGCAACGACTTAGATGGTAGAGAAGCCAAGCAGTTGGGAAACCTAGCCAAAGATGGAGCTATTGATAAAGCAACTGGGAGAAGGATAAACACTTTCAGGCTCTGGAGGCATCTGGTGTCACCTTTAAAGAGCAGGTCTCCCGTTAAGGATGATACCACATGCCCTCTAAGCAAATGGGGCAGCATGGAGAAAGGTACGGAGTGCTCAAGGGACGTGGGTGCACGAGAGGTGATTTATGGTGAGCGACGAGTGAATGGAGACCCCGACGACACGTCATGCAAACAATCTTTACTGGGGAAGTTTACGCAGAGTCTGCCATCGATGTGTCCCCACACATGGTCAGCAACGCTCCGGGGAGGACCCGACGCTGAGGCACCAACAGTAAATGACGTGGCTACAGGGTAGAGCAGAAGGAAGAGTCTCTCTCCTGCCCTCCCTGGGGCCGCCGTGGAAAAAACGATGAGAAAATAGAGGAAATCACCAAGACAGCAGCGGAGCAAAACGAAGAAATAGCTAAGAATAATGATAAACTGTTTGAAAACCTGTCGGGGATGGAGAAAGGATCCCGCTTTTCCCCCGAACGGACCCACATCTCAGCCATTAAGAAAAAAAAAACACCCTCCTACAAAACCCATTCAAGAGGCACAGGACCCCGCTCTGAGATCTCCTGTGGCTTTGCCTCTGCAACTATGGAGAGGACATGAGTAAATGAGACAAAAAACCCCTACCCCGGTCCTACAAGCACTTGTGCTTGAGTCGGAAGGTAAAGCAGATGGAAGAAAGGAGTTTTTCAGGAGAGTGGCTGCTCCAGAACACCAGCAGTCCAGCAATGATCATCGTGTGGTGTAACACAGCAGAAGAAGTTTCTGAGAAAGGTGAGGAGTGCTGAGCCAGGACGAGCCATGAGCCCCATAACAGAGGTTCCAGGGGTGTCCGGCTGCAGAGGCAGCCATGGTTTAGGGGGTGCCGTGGGTGCCCTGGTGATCCAGCATGATCCCCTCATCCCGAAACTGCTCCTCACAGCTGCCCAACTGGAAGGTCTTGGCCTTCGCCCACATCTCCTGCCAAAGATGGACCACCCTCTTCCCAATGTCCACCCTCAGGCACTGCCTGCGGGACGTGGTGCACACACACGTGACATTTCAGCCCTTCCTTGCGGACGTAGGTCTTGCCACACTCGCTGCACTTGTAGGGTCTCTCGCCCGTGTGGGCCCGCTGGTGGATGGTGAGGGTCTGCTTGTCTCTGAAGGCCATGGGGCAGCCATCACAGGCGAAGGGGCGTTCCCCGGTGTGGACCCTCTTATGGATGGTGAGGGCCTTCTTGTGCTTGAAGGCCTTGGGGCAATGGGGGCAGGAGAAGGGGCGCTCCCCGGTGTGGACCCGCAGGTGGTCGGTGAGGGTTACCTTGTTCCTGAAGGCCATGGGGCAGTGGGGGCAGACGAAGGGGCGCTCCACCGAGTGGACCCGCTGGTGTTCACTGAGGGCCTTCTTGTTTCTGAAGGTCTTGGGACAACGGGCACAGGGGAAGGGGCCCTCCTCAGTGTGGGTCTGTAGGTGGATGTTGAGGGCCCTCTTGTTCTTGTAGGCCTTGGGGCAACTGTTGCAGGTGAAGGGGCGCTCTGTGGTGTGGACCCACTGGTGCTCAGTGAGGGCCTGCTTGTTCTTGAAGGCCTTGGGGCAACTGTCACAGGCGAAGGGGCGCTCCTTGGTGTGAACCCACTGGTGGTTCCTGAAAGTCCTCCTGTACTTGAAGGCCTTGGGGCAGTGGGTGCAAGCGAAGGGGCGCTCCCCAGTGTGGACCCGACGGTGGTCAGTGAGGCCCCTCTTATTTTTGAAAACCTTGGGGCAGTAGGTGCAAGCATAGGGTGGCTTCCCGGTGTGAATGCACATGTGGATGGTGAGGGTGTCCTTGTCCTTGAAGGCCCTGGAGCAGAAAGGGCAGGCGAAGGGGCGCTCCTTGGTGCGTTGGAGGATGCGTTGGTGGACGCGTTGGTGGACACTGAAGGTCCGCTCGTCCTTGAAGGTCTTGGGGCAGGTGGGGCAGGCAAAGGGGTGCTTCCTCATGTGGATGCGTTGGTGGGCATTGAGGGTCTGCTTGTCCTTGAAGGTCTTGGGGCAGGTGGGGCAGGCGAAGGGACGTTCCGCGGTGTGGACCCGCTGGTGGCGGTTCAGGTGGTACTTCACCCTGAAGCGACGGCCGCAGTCACCACAGGTGAAGGGACGCTCCCCGGTGTGCACGCCCCGGTGGATCAGGAGATTACACTTGTGGGCAAAGCGCTTGCCGCATTCGGTGCAGCTGAAGGGCTTCTCCCCACCGTGGACCTTCTGGTGAGACACCAGCTTCTGCTTCAGCTCAAGCTTGCGGCCGCACTGCCGGCAGGAGAAGGGCCGTGCCACCGTGTGTGTCTGCTGGAGCTTCTTCTGGTCCCGGATCTTGCGGAAGCTCTTCCCACACTCGGAGCAGGAACGGGGTCTCTTTGACCCCGGGGTGGCAGAGGTTGGATGGGCCGGCAGCAGCTTGGCTGGGAGGGCTCCCCATCGCTTCCCATCTCGCTTGGACATGGCCGGGAGCAGGGTGGTGGGGTCTGACAGCCCTTTGGTGACGTTCCTGGCCTCTCTCTGCAGCAAGACATCACCATCTGCTGGGGAGGAGAGGTTGGGGTCACTGCTGGGAACAGGATGGGCACTTGGCACCGCCTCATGGAGAGGAGCATGGACACCCCACCAGTCTCCCAGCCCTCCTGGGGCTGGGGCTCCAAGGGGATAGTGCTGCTTCAACCCCCCAAGCTTCCATGAAACCCCTCGGACCCACCTGGCTCAGGGGTCCCGCGGCTGCGCCGTGCCCCAGGGGGGTCTGGCACACACGGCGTCTCTTCTCGCTCCATCTGGCAGATGATCTCCGGCTTGACGGGGCACCAGCCTGTGCGGGGAAGAAAGAGAAGCCCCCTCTCTCGCACTGCCGGGGTGGTGGCAGTGGCCCCAGCATCTCCCCACCTCTGCTCTTCTCTCCTGTCCCTGCCCGCCCACGGAAGCACTTCTTTAGGGAGAGGGGGCTCTAACCCTGGAGCTCCAGGCTTCCTGGAGAGGTGGTGGGTGCCCCAAGCCCAGCAGCGCTGGAGAGACCTTTGCACCAGGGCTTGACCTTGCTCAGCCCTGAAGTGCTCGGGGACTTGGGCAAGAAGAGCCTCGTAGGACCCTCCCAAGGGAAAAAGCCTCATCTCTACAACCCCATCCACGGCCTGTCCTGACCGATTCCACCTCTACCGCATCCCGAGGGGACTTCCAGCTGGAGCCCGGCCCCGGCGGCACCGCAGAGAGTCCTCACCCAGCTCGGCCACCGCCTGGTAGTTCTCCAGCATCACCTCCCGGTAGAGCCGCCGCTGCCAGCCCCCCAGCTCGGCCCACTCCTCGGGGGAGAAGTAGATGGCCACCTCCTCGAACGTCACCGCCATCTGCAGCAAGAAGCACCTTGGCTCAGCACCGGCCACCAAAGCCTGACACCGGCACCACCGGCGGCTCCCCCAGCCCCAGCTTCGCTCCCCGCCAGGAAAACAGCGTTTCCATGAAGACACCAGGCCCAGAAGGTCACTTACCTCCAACCGCTGTAGGCCCTTCCACCCACAACCTGAATCATAGAAACATGGAATGGTTTGGGTTGGAAGGGACCTCAAAGACCATCGAGTTCCAACCCCCTGCCCTGGGCAGGGACACCTCCCACCAGCCCAAGTTGCTCCAAGCCCCATCCAGCCTGGCCTTGAACCCCTCCAGGGATGGGGCAGCCACGGCTTCTCTGGCCAACCTGGGCCAGGCTCTCACCACCCTCACAGCAAAGAAGTTCTTCCTGGTATCTGTAATATAATGTATGTAGACACCAGGCCCAGAAGGTCACTTACCTCCAACCGCTGCGGGCCCTTCCACCCGGAGCCGGAAAAACGACGGGGAAAATCCCCACCCAAATCCTGGAGCTGCCCCTTTGAACCTCAGCCCCGAACAAAGAACCAGCGGCAGCGGCTCCCTCACCCCCCTGGGGTGGGACGTGGAGGAGAAAAACAGGAAAATGGAAAAAAACGGGGGGTGAAAGTTGCGGGTGGAGATAAAGACCCTTTAAGAGAAGAGCAAAGGGAAGAGGAAGGGCCCTTCCACCCGGAGCCGGAAAAACGACGGGGAAAATCCCCACCCAAATCCTGGAGCTGCCCCTTTGAACCTCAGCCCCGAACAAAGAACCAGCGGCAGCGGCTCCCTCACCCCCCTGGGGTGGGATGTGGAGGAGAAAAACGGGAAAATGAAAATAAAAAAAGCGGGGGGCACCTTCCCCCCCGCACTCACTCTCTGTCAGTGATGACGAGGAAGCAGGATTTCACGTGGGGCCCCGAGAAACCACGAGACTTTGAGCAAATTAAAGAGGAAACGGTTCTGGCAGCAGCCTCGGGGCTCCTCCGGGTGGGGGGAGGTCATAAAAACGGGGTCTACCTGTGATGGTGCTGGGGGGAACGGCCCAACTTGGAGCTTCTGGCAGAAAGCTCCAGGGGAGACCCGATGCCGAGCCCTGGGGTCTGGGGTGGGATGTGGAGGAGAAAAACGGGAAAATGAAAATAAAAAAAGCGGGTGAAAGTTGCGGGTGGAGATAAAGACCCTTTAAGAGAAGAGCAAAGGGAAGAGGAAGACCCCGATGCTGACCCTGAGGGAAGGACACCCCAAGCGGGTGCTACACAGCACCATTGTCTCACCCCCCCAGGCCCCAACCGGTCTTCTTTGGGGCAGCAGAAAAAGGACTGCCACCCCACCCCCCCCCGTGGGGGAGGAGAAAGAGAAACACCTCCAGGGATGGGGCAGCCACAGCTTCTCTGGGCAACCAATTCCTGGTCCCAGATCGGCCACGCACCGAACACGGGTCCTCCTGAAGGGTCTTGAGAAGGTGAGGACGTCGAGGTGTGGGGGATGAGGGGGGGACATGAAAGCATCGCTGGTGTTTGTGTTGGGACAGGGTTGAGGCATCTCGGGGGGGACCGGAGCTGGAATCGGGTGGGGAAGGAAATGCGGGGTTTTAGGTCTTCTTTGGGGCAGCAGAAAAAGGACTGCCACCCCACCCCCCCCCGTGGGGGAGGAGAAAGAGAAGGAAGAACCCAGGAGGGGACCCCA